TCGAACAGTCAATGGAAAGATCCATACTATGAAAGAATCTTGGATTTGCATCATGTATTTTCCAAACAACAGTTGTCTCCCAAGGGCCTTGTGGCAGGAACGAACTATATAGAAAACTTGGTCTTAACTTCCATATTTGTGGCCATTTCTGAAGCCAAGGTATGCCACAGGTGCTTGCCTTGTTCTTCATCGTGTTTCAAGGCTGCTGCTGCTCCTTCAAAAGCCCCCGAGGCACTGGAGAGAATTGGAGAATAATTGTAGACTCCCTTCCAAGCTTAGAGGATGGTGCAATATGTTGGCTGTCCTGGCATTAATGCCGAGGGGAAGGGGCCAGGCTAGCAAGCTGCTTGACACAGTTGGCAGTTTTTCCTTAGAGATTCAGAACTGTGCTGGTCTCTGTGGGCAGAATTTATACCCAGGCCCGAGGCTAGATTGACAGTTCCATTTCTGAGGGTAACCATAGGAGACAGAATGGAAATATTTTAAAAAAAACATTTGCAAATGGGACATTTGTCATATCTTGCACCCTTCTGGGCGAGCTGCTTCAAATCCAAGGGATGAAGTCTTCCAAACCAGCTTGTAGTTCCTGTGGTTCTCTGCAAATCAGAGCTGAAACACCATACAAAGTTTGTTCTGACCTAGGCTTCCCAAGAGCACGAAGCCGACTCCTCGTCCCGATAAAACCCCTTTTATTTAGGTTAAAGGGAATTCCTCTCCAGCAAAGTCCCGGGCAACAGTCTTTCATGAGATTTCACAGCTACAGGCCTTTATCAGGCTTGGAGAGCTGCCAGGCCGATATCTTCCAAACACCATGCTGTAGCAGCAATTACTTGGCCAGAAGTCAGGAACAGATCTTCACTCTAATGAATTGAACTAATTGTCTCCTGCAAACTCCACTCCCCTTTCGCTCCTCTTTATTCCATGTGGGAGGGGCCATTCATTGTCCACCTGTGCCTTTACTCCCAAGTCATCCCTTGTTCCTTAGCTGTTCCTTTCTTCTGACAGCTCTGCACATGTGCACATTGGAACAGGCTCCAGCTGTTCTTCTGCCCCACTGATCTCCGACTCCGAAGGCAACTGATAACTGTCGGAGGGCCCTGCCTCCGACACAGAGCACTTCCTCAGACGCCAGGACTGGCCCATGTTCCTCCCCAACCTCCTCACTCTCTGAGTCTGTCACCAGCTCCGCTGGCCACTGGCGGGCCACAACATTGTTGTAATGTGGGTTTGTTTAAGCCATGTGCATTCAGCTGGTGTGGTTCATGATTTACACTTGCTGTTTATTAACTAAATGACGAAGCAAGCCATGGGTGTGTTAGCGTATGGTGTTACTTACACACATTATGAACTTGAGCATAACTGACATTGGTTCCTGCCCCTGTCTAGGGTATTTTATACCATCTTTGGTAAAAGTAGAACTGCAAACTTTCTGTATTGACATGTTTGCAAAAGCTATATTGACTCACAACTCTGTCAACCTCAAGGCAGGTTTTTCACAACAGCTGAAACTGGTGTGTGTGTGTGTGTGTGTGTGTGTGTGTGTTTGCTTGTCTCAAAGGTGCTTCCTCCCCATCTCCCCAAAAAGCAACTGGACTTTCTTGTTTTTTTCTTTGAAAACAGTTTGCTTCTCATCCGAAAAAGCTTCTTCAGTTCTAACTGAACCGTTCAGTTCTCTGAACTTTAGTTAGAACTGAACAAGCTTCTTGGATGAGGAGCAAAATGTTTTCAAAGAAAAAAAAATACAAGGGGGGAAAAAGCACCTTTAAGACAATCATGACCTGGATGATTGAATATTTCCACAAACATGTTTTCTTGTTTGTTTTAAACATTTTACCCCAGTCCAGAGCTCTAGTTTCATCAAGCTCTGCCTTTTCCATAGAATAAAAGAGAAGAGAATAGGAGACGATAGAAGAGAATAGAGAAGAGAAAAGAGAGGATAGGATATAGGATAATAGAATAGAGAAGAGAGGATAGAATAGCATAGAATGGCATAGCATAGAATAGTTGGAAGGGACCTTGAAGGTCTTCTAGCCCAACCTCCTGCTTAGGCAAGAAACCCTAGACCACTTCAGACAAATGGCTATTTAATCTCTTCTTAAAAACTTCCAGTGTTCGAGAATTTACAACCTCTGGAAGCCAAGTTGTCCCACTTGATTAATTGTTCTGTCAGGAAATTTACTCTAGCCATCTTGAAATCCGTACTAAGTACTGTACTTAATACACACAGAGGGGAAGCGTGGATTTTTTTTCTCCCTTCATTCTCCATAACCCCCTAAATCTTCCATCAGTTCATCGCACAATCTTGGCCTGTGAATCTTAGACAGTGAAAACAGATGACCCAACAGCTGGATTTCTCCCGGGACGGGGTGGGGGTGGAGAATTAAGAAACCGGAAGCTGCAAAAGAAATCTTTCCAGTCCTTCTAGATCTTTAATGAGGGTTTCATGTAGAAAGTTAGCCACATGGCATGGCCTTCCCCATCCGTTTGCTGTCTCTCCCTCCCCGCCCCCATCCTCCCCACTTTCTGGGAGCTCTTAGGTCTTAATCCCCGGTTGGTTTGAGCTGTCATCTTCTTTTTTCTATGGCTTTTTGCTGTAGTCTGAAAGGATGGTTTTAATTTCCCCTTCCTGGTGGGTGGACAGCCCTGCGATGGACGGACGAGTGGGCATGGATTGTGGAATGGCATTCCTGAACGGAATGCTTTGGTGTAGCTCTGTGCCAGCCTGTCTTTGTCCCAATCCTCACTTCCTCCTGTATATATTTTCCCCTGCTGCCTTTTCTGGCAGTTACTTCCACCACCACCCCCTTCTCTGCTCCTGATTCTCTTCTCCTCCTTCTTATTCTTCTCCCCCTCCTCCTTTTCTCCTTCTCTTTCTCCTTTTCCTCCTCTTCCTCTTCTCCCTCTCTTCCTCCTCATCACCCAAGTCTTCCTTTTCTCCTCCTCCTCCTTTTTTCTTTCTTTCTCTTCTTCTCCTCCTCCCCCTCCCTTACCTCCTCCTCCTCCTTTTCGCCTCCTCTTTCTCTTCTCTTCCTCCTTTTCACCTCCTCCTCCTCTTCTTCTCCTGCTCCCCCTCTCCTCCTCCTCCTTTTCTCCTCTTCTCCTTCTCCCTCCTCCACCTCTTCTCCTCCTCCTCCTTTTTCTCCTTCTCCTTCCTCCTCCTCCTCCCCTTCCAAATCTCTCTCCACCTCCATTCCCACCCCACACACAATTCACATATTAATGTCCTTTGAGCGACATCTCTCCTTTGATTTTCTTTGGGGCTTCTCACCACATGTAACGCTGCTCCAAATTGCTCTGTGCCCTGTTATGTGATTTATTGTTCTTTTTATTAGCAGCCTGAGGATGAGGGAGGGAAACACGTCCATTTTTTGGAAACCGCATAAGATAATTACTTACTTTTTTGGGGCCAGTTGAAACAATGAAACAATACTGTGTGTTTGGATTGTTAAAAGCCAGCGGTTTTCTGAGTCCGCATTAAATTGGTAAACTTTACTGTTCCGAAAATGTCCTATCCCATGAATTGTGCTTTCCAATTACGTATAGTCCTCGACTTAATGACCACGGTCAAGACTGGAACTTCTGGCGATAAGCAAGGCAGTTGTTAAGCAACTTGTCTCTGATTCTACCACTTTTCCCCCCACAGTCGTTCAGTGAATCACACGGTTGTTAACTGAATCTGACTTCTCATTGACTTTGCCTGTCAGACGCTGTCTAGGAAGGTTGCAAAGGACAATTATGTGACACCAAGATGCCGCCACCATCTTAAATCATGGTTGCTAAGCGCCCGAATTTTGACCACATAACGACAGGGACCCAGCAACAGTTGTACGTATGAGGACTGGTAATGTTTTTCAGCAGTGTCATAACCCTCACTAAACAAATTGTAAATCGGGGATTACACATACTTTTTCAAACCACGATAAAAAAGAAACCCTTAAAATCATCAGAATGAAGACAACAGTTCTACAAATTGTTGTTGTTAGTTGCAAAGTTGTGTCTGACACATTGCGACCCCATGGACAATGTTCCTCCAGGCCTTCCTATCCTCTATCATCCTCTGGAGTCCACTGAAGCTCATGCTGACTGCGTCTGTGACTCCATCCAGCCACCTCATTCTCTGTCGTCTCCTTCTTCTTTTGCCCTCCATCTTTCCCAACATTGGGCTCTTCTCCAGTGAGTCCTTCCTTCTCATTAGGTGGCCAAAGTATTTGAGTTTCCTCTTCAGGATCTGGCCTTCTAAAGAGCAGTCAGGGTTGATCTCCTCTAGGACTNGTGAGGAGGTTGGGGAGGAACATGGGCCAGTCCTGGAGTCGGGAAGGCTCTGATGAGGGCTCTGTGTCAGAGGCAGAGAGGGGGCCATATGCCAGTTATCAGCTGCCTTCGGAGTCCGACATCAGTGAGGCGAACAGCTGGAGCCGGTTTCCAGTGTGCGCATTCGCAAAGTTGCCAGATGAAGGGAGCAGCTAAAGAACAGGGGTCGACTTGGGAGTAAGGCCACCGGTGGACGATGAATGGCCCCTCCCAGAGGAGATAAAAGAGGAGCGAAAGGGAAGTGGGGTTTGCAGGAGATAATGAGTTTGCTTAATTGGTTCGTGACTCTCCAAGACTCCTTGCCAAGTTTTGCAGATATCAGCCTGGTAGCTCTCCAAACCAGATAAGGTCTGTGACTGTAAATCCTCCCTTGAAAGACTTTGCTGGCTGTGAATGAGCCAAGAAATTCACAGGAAATTAATAAAACATTTTTTTGTCGGGACAAGGCGTTTGCTTCATGCTCTTGGGAAGCCTAGGTCAGAACAACCAGAGTGGAAAAGAATGTATTTGGAAAATATGGAGTTAATTATGAAGTTCCATTGATTCAAATCAGAACTGAAATGAGGAATTCTGGCTGGAGTATTCTGGGAGTTGAAGGCCAGACATCTTCAAGTCGCCAAGGTTGAGAAACACTGGCTCCAATGATCTGCCTTGCTGGTTATTGAAAACATTTCTTCTTCTTTTAACAGGTGAATCAAATCCAAAGAACCGTCATAGAGCCCCTGAAAAAGTAAGTTGTGATGTTTCCCTATAAGCAACAATCTTTTGCAATCTTTTACAAATGAATGTGATTTAACATGGGAACAAGAAACCTTTCTTTCCCTCAAGGCTTATTGGGTGAAACCTACAGCTTGTGAAATTCTGCAGATCCCAACTTGTGTTTAGAAAAACAACAAACCCGGAATTTCTAGCCTTCCTTTTAGAGAGAATGTGCAAGCAAAATAGTATTAAAAAATTAGTAGTGAGTGTATACATATATAAAAAAATATCATCAGCAAACTATTACAACTCTTTTGCTCATTTGCTGATAGAGTCAAACCTCTTCCATTATTTATTTATTTAGCATGTGGCATATAATGTCAAGCTTGTTGATCAGAAAGGTCAGCGGTTCGAATCCCTAGCGCCGCATAACAGAGTGAGCGCCCTTTACTCTGGTAGAAATAGCAGCAGCCGCCTTCCTGAAACTGAAAAAAAGTAAAAATATTCTGTTTAAAAGTGTATTTTAGCCAGGCATATATTCATATACGTAGGGTTTTTTTTAAATATTATTGCAAGTCTGTGAGCTTCTTTTCCATATTTCTTTTAAAACTCATTAGCATTTACTTGAGCTATAAGCCAAGCATCTGAGGATCTTTTTAGAGAACTTCTATTACTACAATCAAACGATTGCCGAAATCTTTAGATTCACTTTTTTTGTATTAAAAGGAAGTTGTGTGAGCAGAACAAAATGACTTTAATAAGACAGCGAGTGAGGCAAATTGCTCAGTTAACACCTTTTGTTTCACTTGACATTTTTTCCTGCTTCTAAATTAAAGCAACATAAAACTAAGGCAGTTGCATTTATCGCCTGTTAGGAATGGAGCGGGATTTGGGAGCAAGGTAGTTGAAGGTGGTCTGGAATTTTGTAGCATTTGTTTTTCCATCTTCTTCCTCCTCCAAACGCTTGGTTGAAATTGTAGACAGATGTAGAAGCCTGCTGGACAGGGACGCGGTTGCTCAGTGGCTAAGTCAATCAGAAAGATCGGCAGTTTTGCGGTTTCAAATCCTTAGCGCCGCGTAACGGAGTAAGCTCCCGTTACTTGTCCCAGCTTCTGCCAACCTAGGAGTTCGAAAGCACTTAAAAAATACAGGTAGAAAAATAGGAAGCACTTTGGGTGGGAACATAATGTCAAGCTTGTCAATCAGAAAGTTCGGTGGCTCGAATCCCTAGCGCTGCACAACGGAGTGAGCTCCCGTTACTTGTCCCAGCTTCTGCCAACCTAGGAGTTCGAAAGCACTTAAAAAATACAGGTAGAAAAATAGGAAGCACTTTGGGTGGGAACATAATGTCAAGCTTGTCAATCAGAAAGTTCGGTGGCTCGAATCCCTAGCACTGCACAACGGAGTGAGCTCCCGTTACTTGTCCCAGCTTCTGCCAACCTAGCAGTTCAAAAGCATGTAAAAATGCAAGTGGAAAAATAGGAACCACTCTTGGTGGGAAGATAACAGCGTTCTGTGCACCTTTGGAGTTTAGTCATGCTGGCCACGTGACCACAGAGACGTCTTCGGACAGTGCTGGCTCTTCAGCTTTGAAACAGAGATGAGCATCACCACCTAGAGTTGGGAATGACTTATTTTTATTTGGCGTTTTGGAGTTAAGGGAAGAACCTGTCAGCATTTACCCAAAAGCTCATTATACTATCTGGAAAGGCAGATATAAATTAAAAGGAATCTTCTCTCTATATATAAAAANCTGGTGGCATCTCCAACATTTAGCTGATTCATCTTTAAACATCTTCCCCAGTCTTGCCTATTTCCAAATATGGATGTTCTATTAAAACTTATAAGATTTATTTTAAAAAAAACTACCTATCATTGTTTCAAAGGTTCTCTCCCCTTCATAATTACTATCTGACTGCTAATAGGCTCATTAGGCAGCACTTCTAAAGGATTGTATGCCTCTAGGCATGTGCAGGCCATTGCTGCCAATTTCCCATATTATTCAGCTGAAAAGGTGCATGCTTGGACAAACGACAGTGGGGGAATTTCCTAGCAGTTATTGGCAAATGAATGAACCTCAGTCTTTCCAAGATCCTTTTTTTTTTTTTTTTTTGGAAGGCATTTCTTAAATCCTTCCTGTCCGGATATCAACAGTGATATGAAAGAGAAAGTTAGGAAAAGGAGCAAAAGGAGAAGAAAAATCTCAGAAGGAATGTCATCTGTCTCTCAAACTCTCATTAATTTTAATAAGGGTATTGGAGGATGATAACAGAATATTCTTATGTCAAAATGTCACTTCCTGGATGGTTTTGGACCAGTGATTCTCTCTCAGCCCAGGGAAAAATGGAGAAGGGTATACGATGTACATTTGACTTGATCTTCTGGAGAAAAGCTAGAGAAAGCTTTTAAATCTTTTAAATAGAATAGAATAGAATAGAAGTGTGATTGGAATTTGTCTTTGGTCCATAAGCTCTCAGTGTACATAAAAAGATGAGATACGTTCATCAAGAATCATAAGGTATACTTAATGATAATCATAGGATACAAATCATACTAGGAAACAATCAATATAAATCATAAGGATTCAAGCAACAAAGTTATAGTCATACAGTCATAAGTGGGAGGGGATGGTGATAGGAATGATGAGAAGATTAGTTGTAATGCAGATTTAGTGAATACTTTGCCAGTGTTGAGGGAATTATTTGTTTAGCAGAGTGATATAACTGAAATAAGCCAGCATACTTCAATGTTGGGGACAAAATAATGGACCATTCTGTACACAGAACTGAATGATGTGAGAAATAGGCAATCATTAACATTTTTTGTCTCCAAAAAAAAAGATCTCCGAGAAGCAAAGAGATATAATCCTTCCGTTCCTCCACCCCCATCCAGTCAGAACTGATGAAACTTCTTGGATGAGAAGTGAAACATTGTCTTCCTCAAGGAAAAAAAAACATAGTCTAGTTGCCTTTTGAAAAAGAATCTTTGAGACAACCATGACCTGGATGACTGAGCATCTCCATAGACATCTTCTAACAAGGTATATAACTTCATCTGACCATTCAATCCACTATTAACATAAGCCATGAAAATGTTAATGCCCTACAGCAAAACCATCTTAAAAACAACCAAAAATTATTATGATCATATCACCAAAGCATACAAACCAACCCAGGCCCTCAAAAACACCTTAAGCAAACCGAAAGAGCCAGTAGCTGCAGAAGAAAAAAAAAAAACAGGAATCATCTAAAACATCTAGCATAAAGACTATAAAAACAATAATAGGCAGAAGACTAGAGCACATCCATGAACACCAGCTAACAGTCAGAAGACAACTTCTTAATTTCATAGCACATGGACAGATTTAAGCATAGTTTCAAACTGAGAGCATCCTACGAATTTTTTTAAAAAAAACAACACTNCAACAACCCACATTGAAAAGTACCTTCACGAAACTCAAGTTGCAGAGTTTTGCTTTTGCTCCAAACTGCCACTTGCATTGTGTATCAGCATCATAGATCTGCCCTGGGAGTTTATCGGGATACTTGTATTGTCCAGCTTGTTTGGGCTCATCAATCAGACAAGCTGCCTGAGCAGTGCTGTGGGGGGAAAAAAGCAGCAACCACCTAAAAGCTTTGCTCTTCCACAAAAACCGGTTCCAGATTTGGAAAAAAAATGTAATTCTCTAGCCTTGAACTTACTTGAGAAACTTGTTAAGGTACTGCCGGCTACACACCGACCATGAAAACACTCCATTGTTGCCTATGAGAGTGGGAGACATGATGTTACCTTCAGCTTTTCGACAAGGGTTTCCTTCTCCGTCGTGAATCATGCCAAAACTGGGCACCCCAGCAGGGGGGGAAAAAAGAAAAGAAATCAATTTATTACAGCACCAAGGCCAGATACAATAGAATATTTCATAGTAGAACTGCTGCCTACTTGTAGTATATGTGTAATAGAAAGACAGGTGAACAAATTAACAGGGTTGGAAGGGACCTTATAGGTCATCTAGTCCAACACACACACCCCACTCAAGCAGGAGACCCTACACCATTTCTGACGAATGGCAGTCCAATCTCTTCTTGAAAAGCTCAAGTGATGGAGCCCCCACAACTTCCGAAGGAAACTTCTGTTCCATGGGTTGATTGTTCTCACTGTCAGAAAGTTCCTCCTTATTTCTAGGTTGAATCTCTCCTGGGTTAGTTTCCATCCATTATTCCTTGTCTGGCCTTTAGGTGCCTTGGAAAATAGTTTGATCCACTCCTCTGGAGTAAAAACTTAATATACTTATGATACTAAGTCATCATCATTACTGAGAATTCTGGAAACTGAACTCTGACATATCTGGAGGACGCCGCCTTATGGAAGCTTCTCTGGGTTATCTAAGATCACAATGTTTTAAGACCAGAATTCTGCCTTGTGAACTAACTTATTGACTTAAAACACCAGACTGATCTATTAGTTATGCCTTTGAAATGGTTGTGGGAAACTGAAGTTCAACCCAACCATACTTGATATTTCAAAAATAGCAGTGGGGGTAGTGCAGGCCATAGTGAAATTCCTTGGAAGAAGAGTGATGTGTGAAACTAAATAAATGCTTAGTTGAAGACTATAAGCATACATTTCTCTTGAAATGCCCCCATATTATTTTGCAAAGCCAGTGGTGATTATTGACACAAAACAGCCGTCTCGGTGATGGAATCTGGACTTTAGCATTTCTCTTCAGAGAAGATTTGCTTGCCCCATTAATCATTTGGCATCTAAAGCCATTAACAGGGCAAGACATTATTGTTGCAAAAGGTATTTGGGACAGAGATCAATTGGCTTATGCTCATGTACAGCATTAGATGCCTACTGTTGTTAGTGCAATACTCATATTCGTTTAATGCTATTTTATATATTCTCCTTTCTCCCAAACAACCCCTTCAAAGTTTTAGAGATGGAAAAATTGGAAAGAGGGGAGTAAATGAATGGGCTTTGAATTTTTTTAAAAAAATCATGTGCCTTCTTCTGTTGCTACATCTATTGATCCCAGTAAATGCTAAATATGATGACACAAAAATTGTACTGATGATGCAAGATTTTTTATGGAGAAAAAATAAATAAAATTTTTTTATATAAAAAATGGTTGAGGTTGAGAATCACTGATCTAAGGGAAGGGATGGTGGCCTTGTTTGTACAAATAGCACAACCGTTTCTTCCATTTCCTAAGAGAATAAATCATTTAAATTATGGAATCTCCATCAATATTATCCACCCCCACAAGTTGGATAGAGAATTTGGGGATATTACCGATGCTCCCCTCCAGTTTTTTAAGCCTCTGGCTTCCATACAAATATGTTTTATACATTTTCTTTACTATAATTTTTCTGGTAAAATCCCCAACAAAAATATTTTAGGTTTTAAGTCAATATGTTGTTGTATCATTTTTTCCAGCCACGTATGTATTTTAGTCCAATATTTTTTTGCTTCTGTGCAGGTCCACCACATGTGAAAGTATGAGCCCGGGTGTTCTGGTGGCATCTCCAACATTTAGCTGATTCATCTTTAAACATGTTCCCCAGTCTTGCCTATTTCCAAATATGGATGTTCTATTAAAACTTATAAGATTTATTTTTTAAAAAACTACCTATCATTGTTTCAAAGGTTCTCTCCCCTTCATAATTACTATCTGACTGCTAATAGGCTCATTAGGCAGCACTTCTAAAGGATTGTATGCCTCTAGGCATGTGCAGGCCATTGCTGCCAATTTCCCATATTATTCAGCTGAAAAGGTGCATGCTTGGACAAACGACAGTGGGGGAATTTCCTAGCAGTTATTGGCAAATGAATGAACCTCAGTCTTTCCAAGATCCTTTTTTTTTTTTTTTTTTTACGACAGTGGGGGAATTTCCTAGCAGTTATTGGCAAATGAATGAACCTCAGTCTTTCCAAGATCCTTTTTTTTTTTTTTTTGGAAGGCATTTCTTAAATCCTTCCTGCCCGGATATCAACAGTGATATGAAAGAGAAAGTTAGGAAAAGGAGCAAAAGGAGAAGAAAAATCTCAGAAGGAATGTCATCTGTCTCTCAAACTCTCATTAATTTTAATAAGGGTATTGGAGGATGATAACAGAATATTCTTATGTCAAAATGTCACTTCCTGGATGGTTTTGGACCAGTGATTCTCTCTCAGCCCAGGGAAAAATGGAGAAGGGTATACGATGTACATTTGACTTGATCTTCTGGAGAAAAGCTAGAGAAAGCTTTTAAATCTTTTAAATAGAATAGAATAGAATAGAAGTGTGATTGGAATTTGTCTTTGGTCCATAAGCTCTCAGTGTACATAAAAAGATGAGATACGTTCATCAAGAATCATAAGGTATACTTAATGATAATCATAGGATACAAATCATACTAGGAAACAATCAATATAAATCATAAGGATTCAAGCAACAAAGTTATAGTCATACAGTCATAAGTGGGAGGGGATGGTGATAGGAATGATGAGAAGATTAGTTGTAATGCAGATTTAGTGAATACTTTGCCAGTGTTGAGGGAATTATTTGTTTAGCAGAGTGATATAACTGAAATAAGCCAGCATACTTCAATGTTGGGGACAAAATAATGGACCATTCTGTACACAGAACTGAATGATGTGAGAAATAGGCAATCATTAACATTTTTTGTCTCCAAAAAAAAAGATCTCCGAGAAGCAAAGAGATATAATCCTTCCGTTCCTCCACCCCCATCCAGTCAGAACTGATGAAACTTCTTGGATGAGAAGTGAAACATTGTCTTCCTCAAGGAAAAAAAAACATAGTCTAGTTGCCTTTTGAAAAAGAATCTTTGAGACAACCATGACCTGGATGACTGAGCATCTCCATAGACATCTTCTAACAAGGTATATAACTTCATCTGACCATTCAATCCACTATTAACATAAGCCATGAAAATGTTAATGCCCTACAGCAAAACCATCTTAAAAACAACCAAAAATTATTATGATCATATCACCAAAGCATACAAACCAACCCAGGCCCTCAAAAACACCTTAAGCAAACCGAAAGAGCCAGTAGCTGCAGAAGAAAAAAAAAAAACAGGAATCATCTAAAACATCTAGCATAAAGACTATAAAAACAATAATAGGCAGAAGACTAGAGCACATCCATGAACACCAGCTAACAGTCAGAAGACAACTTCTTAATTTCATAGCACATGGACAGATTTAAGCATAGTTTCAAACTGAGAGCATCCTACGAATTTTTTTAAAAAAAACAACACTAGGAAAGTCCTGGAAGCCTGGTACAGAGAAATCAACCATCTACAGGCACATAGAAATGTAGGAAGTTAAAACGCACCCCTCTCCTAGAAAATGAAATATTTTAGGAAATATTAAAAAGGCAGAATATTTCCCCTAAAAGAGAAGTAGAAACTCAGGAAAGCAGAAACTCAGCCACCACTTTGTCAATGGGCCATTAAGGCCTGAGCCAGAGAAACATGCTTTTAGCCAGGAAACAGACTCACTCTTAATAGCTCTTCCCACCTTTGCCAATGGGCCATTAAGGCCTGAGCCAGCCTATTCTACATAACCAAGATCTACCCCATCTCATTGCACTTCATTGCACCACCAACCAAGTTTCAACAAAACTTAGCACACAACCTACAAGGCTAGCTATGACATCTGACAACAACCAATCAGAATATATTTCTTACAAAGGAACAGGAAACAAAGGTGGGGCCACAGAGAGGGCATAAAACCAGGGGCTCTCAGCATTTCTGCTCAGGAACTCAAGCCATGTGATCCTGTCCACCATTAAACCATCTTTCCAAACAGCCTCCATGTTTCCAGTGTCCCAGAAGGACATTTCTTCCAACAGAAATAAACAACATTTACATAACATTCAAAATAGATAACAAATAATCTAAAAAGAAAACAAAAAGACCAGAACACTGCCTCTCCAGCAATTCACACCTGAATAAGCAGTGATTAACATCAGACAAACAATGAAGGAGTAAACAATAGCCTAATCAAGGAACCACTAAGGAGAAAACAACATTCCCACCAGTTCTGTTAGGGCAGGATACTGTATATAAATAAGCCATGTTATGTTCACAGGCATTCAATTGCTAATCTTTCTGGTATGTACTACAAGTGTGTAAAAACTGTATCTCAATCAAACTATAAAAAAGGGAATATGTGTTAAAGGAAACTACATATAAAAATGTCCTGGCCTCATTGCTAAGTAGGTCATTCCTTTAACAGCATACAAATTGGATACATAAAGAAATACATGGCTGAATCTCTGGATAATCCCTGTTTTTTCTGACCTGGCCTCTGGATTAACATCTCTCTTCACTTTCCCTCACCCTGTGATTGTGTCTCATGGTTGTGGCCTATCAGTTTGTTTTGCCACTTATCTACCGATGATCTGATCCAAAGACCATGAAGGGACCAACCAATCACTGTTATCATAACATGACTCTGAGAAAAAGAAGGGTAGAATTATATCACAATAGGATTAACCAATCTGTGCTGATTAAGCAGACTTTTGAAAGGGAAAAAAATTGATTCTGAGAAGAAGGTTGTGGGCATGTCTCAATTGTAATGAGTGTGTGTCCCCCATAGTTCTTTCCCTACCCTCCTCCAAGTCACAAAACCGTGCACAACTCAATTCAAAAGGTGCAAGGACTGAATTCCGACACTCATTTTTTATGGTTCGCCTCCCACCCGCCCACCGAAACAACGCCTGGCAAAAATTAGCACTGGGTTAGGATTAGTCTTTTAATTCCTCATTTCCTTTCAGATGAAGAGGAATCAGTCAAAGGGCCACTCATGCAGACATGAGGTCAGAGCTGTGTGTTTACAGAGTCAGGACTGAATAGTTTGGAACAGCTCATGCAGAATTGGGGATTCACCTAGCATGTGAAGACTGCAGCTTGGCTGTTGATAAATTTTAAAAAAAAGGATGAGCTGAATGGAGCTGTCAACCAACAAAGGAGCGCTTCTGTGTGGGACACATTTCCATAGAGCCTCCTCACAAAGGGACATTTGGGTTTAATCTTGATACCATGCTCAAAGCCATGGTTAGATGCTAGAGAACCCATGGGAATGCAGGGGTATGAAGGACCTTCTCTCTTGTCTCAATATGTCCCTTGCTGGTCCTTATTATAAATGATAAGTGGAAAACAATAGATGTTAAAAATCTCAAATGTGTAATAAAATGCAATCTAAATAGCTGTGTGAATGAAAGGACTACAACACAACTCTTCCAATGTAGGAAGATAGATGAACTTAATGAAACAAGGAAGTACCTATTTAACCCAGCATCTTTGTTAAATCTTCATTAAATAAATTTCAATCAACTCCAGCCATCAAGGGATATTTTAAAAAATAGCCTAGGTCTATGCAGACAAGCCTTTTAGAAAAACAAACTAACTAACATTCTAATATTCTGAATAATATAACAAATCTTTCAATAAACATGTATGTTACAGAGGTGGGTTTCCATTATTTTTACTACTGGTTTGCCTGTGCACACACCTGCGCTTGTGCGTGATGTTTCTGTGCATGCGCAGAAGCTTCCAGGCAGGTAGGTGGAGCCTCCCGACAACGCCACTACCAGTTCACCCGATCCAAGCCAAACCAGCAAAAACCCATGTCTTGGTATGTTGTAAACCAAATGTATCTGATAATCAAGTCTATAATTCACAGTTTTATTCTTGGCAAAATTAAGAGAATGCATATCAAATGCATTCTCTACGTTGCTAGAGAATCAAGTTCATAATGCAAATACCAAGCCATTGCATTTGTGAGAAAGGAATCCCAACTGACTTTTCTTTCAAATTGAGGGACCAGTGCCCATATTTTTCCAAATGTTGATGCCTCCCCAAAGTCATATTAATATTTGGAGGCAAATTGTCTCTTTGGGGCGACTCCCACTTAAATATTAAGCTAGACTTTCATACATCATTTTTGAATTTTAACTATCCTCTCAAGTTTCTCTGTAACCTTTGGTGATTAAAGATATTGCATTCTCCTTCTCTTATAATGCCACTATAAAGATAAAGGTTCCCCTCGCACATATGTGCTAGTTGTTCCCAACTCTAGGGGGAAGTGCTCATCTTCATTTTAAAGCTGAAGAGCCAGTGCTGTCCGAAGACGTCTCTGTAGTCATGACTAAATGCCAAAGGTGCATGGAATGCTGTTACCTTCTCACCAAAGGTGGCTCCTATTTTTCTACTTGCATTTTCACATGCTTTCGAACTGGTAGGTTGGCAGAAGCTGGGACAAGTAACAGAAGCTCACTCTGTTACGTGGCGCTAGGGATTCAAACTACCGAACTGCCAACCTTTCTGATCAACAAACTCAGCGTCTTAGCCACTAAGCCACCACATCCCTTTGTGGTTATATTGCTACTATAAAAGGCAATAAAACCCTATGACCAGATCTCCAAAACCAAAATTTATATCAAACTGGGCATTAATAGCCCAGAGCACCATGTTAAGATTACAATGAATTAAAAGCATTTATCTTTGCTGCATTTGGTAAGGATAAAAATGCATGAGAAATTGCTTACTTGTGTCCGGATTCATGGGCAATAGTAAATGCCAAACCAAGGCCGGTATCTTCATTGATGGTGCAACTACGGTATTTGCTGCACATTCCACTGATTGGAGCAAAGCCTGCCAGGAAATTATAAGAAATAGGAAACACCGTGGAGGCAAAGAATGAAACTATGAAAAGAATTGCATTCTGCTGCCTAGCTTTGTGGAAATTGAGGCCACGTTTTAGAGGCCTTAACATTCATAGCATATTTTGTTTCCTTGTGTAAAAGGAACAGACAGACACATGGAAATAATGGGGTCAATCCAAGATAAATGCATCTTGTCTGCAACAGCTGGCCTGCAAAACTAACAGAGCTCATTTTCTCTGCTGACTCAACATCAGTCTAGGTCAGCTGGGAAAATGGTTTTAAAAAGAGATGCCAATTCTTTTCTGAAAGTCAGCCAGCAGGAATTAAGAACGGTTGGTTAGCGATATTTCCAAAATCTAAAACAACAGAACTGGGAAGCTTCCTGAAGCACAGTGGCCATTAAAAAGGGATGTTTCTCTCGCCCAGATAATCCTTCTTTTGGGGGTGCCATTTACATTGTACCAAAGTCTGCTGTTAATATTGAAGGAATAAGTAAAAGATAGAGATCAATATGATTTTTCATAACCTGCATTTTCCTATTGGTCTGCCTTGGAGTTACAATTACACATGCATAGAGAGGTTTAATGTTTCCTCCAGCTACTCTGTGAATGTGTGTGTATGTATTTCCATCTCATGTAGTCCTGAGCCTAATACTCTTCTCCTCTCTATATTCAGAATATTTAAAAATATTGAAACAATAGATGAACTTTAATATTAAGGCTAATAATAATAATAAAATAAACAGTAACATTAATAAAACAGTAACATTACATCATATACAGCTTTGAACATGATCTTGGGACTTTTTATAGGAGCATAGATGTAAAGGATTGTCCAGAATAGATGGAGAGAAAGTTATCCAGAACAACAATCCTTAGTACCAACTAAATCAATCATATTTCTCCTGCTTCAAACTATCTGCATGCTTGGTATTGATTGGCTAATAGCAACAGCAACCCCTGTTAATCTACCAATTACACTTCAGTGTTCAGTAAAACAAGGTTTAGCTGATGAATTCTGTAGACAATTGATTACATTATTTATAACACATCATATTGAGATCCTTGGTGTTTTCTGAGCTTGGTGGCTTTCTTGCAGACATTTCATTGCCAAACTAGATAATATCATCAATGTAGTAGTTCAGTAATAAAATGTCTTCAGGAAAACCACCAAGCTCAGGGAGCACTAAGGATCCCACAGCTAAAAATATTCCCTTCTGCCAATAGACCATTTGACATCCGTGTTCCCACGTTTTTCTGTCTTACCTAAAGTGTCACAAGGCTCATTCTTCCAGGAGCAAATATCAAATCCAGTAAGCAAGATAGCATGATCGTGCCTTTTCCCATTCTTCCCAACCAGAGCTGATTGCCATTGGCAAAAGCTGTTCAGTGACTGGTCTGCATGGTGGTTGATCACTAGTCCCCCCTATTGAAAAATTACAGATGATCATACAGCTCAATCGCCAGTAACAAAAAGAAGAAAGATCTAGGGAGGCAATAAAAAGTAGATGGAGAACAACTTGAAATTTGCATTTGCTTTTCGTTGTTAAGAACAATGCTATTTAGGATTCCGCGTACTGAAGGCCACCTTTTAGAACAGCAGTCACCAACTGGTGGTCCACGAGAAAATTTTGGTGGTCCGCAGAAAAATTATTTGCATTTTTTATATTGCACTAAATCAGGGGTCCTCAAACTACGACCCCTAGGTCGGATATGTGCAATGAACACGTGTATTGGCCCAGAGAGTCTTCCCCTTTGGGGTCTTTTTGTGTGAGTCAGAGGGGGGAAGAAATCCTGACTTGGGGTTTCCTCCTGGTGCGGGGCTTTGGGCAAAGGCTGGAGCCAGTGGGACTGCATTATGATCTGGAACTGGCTGACCATCTCAGCCTGCTGAGCCTCCAGGCACCGGTACCTGGCCTTGCACTCCAGCAGGTCTTCCCTCTGCTTGGAAAGCCTCTGCTCGTAGTCCTCAGTGAGGTGCTTCTGCTGAGCCTCCTTCTCAGTCAGATCCGATTTGAACTGAGTCAGCTGTTTTGCCAACTCTTTCTCACGGTGGCTGCTTAGCTCCAACATAACCAATTTCATTGTATTTAAGTACAAAGATTATACTTATACTTATTTGCTTCCTATTGGGGCCCTAAGGAGCCGAGGTGGGCAGGCAAGGAGTGGCTAGGAGAGGAGGGGTGAGTAAAGGCCAGTGAGGTGTTCCTTGACGTGAGTGACATCAAGTTGCCCACCCAGTCACATGATCACCTAGCCACGCCCACCGAGACAGTCATTGGGCAGATCATATTAGTGGCCCGCGGGGTTTAAAATTATGAATTTATTTATGAATTTATGCCCTTCCCTGAGGTCCAAAAGGTTGGGGACTCCTGTTTTAGAATATAGAATCAGAAGGCTGGAAGGGATCGCAAGTCTTCTAGTCCAACTCCTTGCTCATGGCAGGATACCTTACATCATGCCAGACCCCTTGTCCAATCTCTTCTTGAAAACCTCCAGCGATGGAGCACCCACAAATCCAGGAGGCAAATTGTTCCATTGATTAATTGTTCTCAATCCCAGGAAACTTCTCCTTTCTTCTTGGTTGGATTTCTCTTTAACATGCTTCTACCCATTATTCCGTATCCTGCCCTCTGGTGCTTTGGAGAATACCATAAGTCTGTCACGTTTTCTCTTTCCATTTGTTTTTATTTAGCTTATACCTTGCCTTAGTTCCTTATCTAACAAAAACTATTTTGAAATATACTTGAAAGGCTGCCAAATTAATTATCAACTGTTATCTCTGTTACCTATTATGATAGTCAAATGTAATTATATGTATATAATACCAAGGCATGCAGCCAGAACATACATGCATCTCTCTAGTATAAAATTAAACAGAAAAAGAGCTTGCTACTTTAGCATTCTGATGAAAAATGTTTTCTGTCTAGTATTTTTAGTATGAGTTTAAGAACCTTATGAAAATATAGCAGAAACCAGTAGCAATTCTTAGACAATAGAGCAAGCTTTTTAAAAAAAAAGCCATGCAAGGAAAATCGTTGAATAAACTAAGTGAAATATGATCTCCAACCACTGCAGATTATATATATATATATATATAACTTAAATAAGGAACAACATCAAACAAAGAAGTTTTTTTCTTTCTCTCTCACTTTTCAAGACACCATATGTGTTAAACTGAGTCCCAATACTTTTCTGGAGCCCTTTATTGATTTGATTTTGAGGAAGACTGGAAGACCATTAGTCTATCATCCTCAGCACAATATAACGCCACTCACCCTTTTCATATTCCATTAGAGGAATAAAACCAAAGGAAATGGAAAATAAGGAAAAGGAGGAACAAGAACACATGGGAACAACAACAAGAAGGAAAAAGGACATTTGCAAACATCACAGAAGAAAGACATATAACTATTCCCTTCCATTTCTACATAGGGAAACAATTTCCCCCTTAAAGCAAGGTAGCATTAGAAAGAGAATTAAGAAGGCCCGACTTTAGTGTACTCCTGATAAAGGTTGAATTAAAATATGTACAATCCAGTTTCCCTAGATTCTATAACTTTATCCTTGCAATTTTTTCCCTTGTAATAATTCTGGTTAAATAAAACTCTGAGAAACTACTTTTCTGGGTTACTGTTATGGATTTGACACTCATTGTGTTATTGCATATGGTTCATAAACACAAGAGAATCACTACAAAAATAAGTTATTCAGAGCAACTTCTTATGTAACAAGCTAGTGTGAGAACCTCAATGCCCCAACCCATAGCTCTATTTAAAACCCATACTGAGCAAAAATGATGGCAAATCAACTCACAGGTTCTTGCTCCAAAAGAAGAAGGCTCACAACGACGATATTGATATCACTTCCAATTGTACCATCCTTGAAAAGACTTGAGACCTGCAAAAAGATTACCATGGCAAAGAAGATAAGGAAGATAGAACAACTGGTTGGCAAGTAAAACCAATAGGAAGATGAAATTCACTCCTGACACAACTATAAAATTAAAACAGAAATGGACAACTAAATGCTTGAGGGACACATGGAGCACATCTTCTCTTGGTTTTGAGCCTCACCAAAAATTGTGCAGGAAAAATTGTGGGGTAAACCAATATATTTCAAAGATACTTTGGTAAACATGGGGTAGGGTGGGGCCATTAGTAAAAAATAATAATGTGAAAATGTCTCAACAATATTAATCTAATCAAGTAGAATCAAGATTGACATATTAGCATTCCTAATTCTTGATGGAAATTCTAACAGAACATGCAAATATGGGCAATTGGAGGACAACTATTATGGGAGTAAAAGGGCCTGGAATCACACACAAAATATTTCCTCTCTAGTTTTGCAAAGTAGAGTGGACAGGTATTAGAATAACTGTCTTAGCCAGGTTCATATTACACTTTTGGTTTTGATTTAACATGTTTAACATGATTCCCCAACTATTGCATTTGTCTATCCAGCTTTAGAATTTCAGTTTTCATATACCGTATTTTTCATACTATAAGACACACCTAGGTTTAGAGGAGGAAAACAAGAAAAAAATATCAGGCAGAGCCTGAGAGGACCACAGATAGGTGTCCTATCATGTGCCAGCTCTGCCTATTGACTCCTGCACTGCAGAAAAGATACAGAAGAGGCAGGGAATGAGAAAGACAGAAGAGACGGGGTTCAGCACTGTAAAAGGACCCAGCCGCCACGGACCGACTGCTATTCACCAAAGGACCAGCACCGGTCAACCGTTGGGCCCCCCTGAGGTAATACACTTCACGGTCTGTGATGCAATATTTGCTCCATAAAACGTACAGACATTTCCATGCACTTTGGGGGGGGGGGGAGAGAGTGTCTTATGGAGTGAACAATACAGTAAATTATCTAACCAATTGTAGTTGACAATTAAACAAAGGATGCAGTGGTGAAATCTAAAAAAAATTCTTACTGGCTCTGTGGACATGGCTTAGTGGGGGTTATGTGACTGGGTGGGTGTGGCTATGTAGTCATGTGACTGGGGGGATCAAAAGACAGAAACTCACTTTAGCAATGTCCTGCTGGAGCAGGGGGTTGGACTAGATGACCTCCAGGTCTTTTCTAGCCCTGGATTGCT